GTCCACATTCCTGGTATAACCCTCACGGCAAACTTGCGCATTTAAAGCCCATACTTATGGAGAGAAAAAGAAAATACAGTATAAGTGGCACCATTTTAGAAAACGCAGCTACAGAAATTCTAGAAAAGCAAAAAACAAAAGGAATGCGACACATACACTGTAAACTACGCTACGTAGGAGTGGGGATGGGATATGCAGGGTTCTGTTTTTGGGGGGTTTATTTTTTACCAATATAAAATTCAATTTCAAAACTTTTTTTCTTTTTTTTTATGGGAAGGGGGGGGGGGGGGGGGGGGGAGGGGCGGGTTGGTTGTCTTCGGTGTCAATTTTCGGTGTCGGACGTAACATCTGTCTTTATCGGGGCTTATGCTGAAAAAAAGAGGGGGCCTGTGAGACCCCAATCTGGAGAGAACACGTCCATGACCTCAATACCGGGAAAACGTTACGTGGCAGCGATAAGAAAAGGAAATGGGACAACGCGTGTCTGTTTCCCGATACAGCCTCGAGGTAAACACAGAACCCTAGTGATAAGTGATAAGGACCGTCAAGGGATTCGTACGGATTTGTCGAGGAAAAATAAAGACCCGGTCACAAAAATAAGTTGCACGATTCGTGGGCTCGGAAGTGATCCATCGAGCCTATTGCCGTCCCACCGTAGATTATTATTCGTCTATCCTCCCAAGAGTCCCCGATAAAGATATGTTTTGGGATACAAATTCATTTTACGTTTGTATGTCGCGAGTCATCGCATGCCACTGTATGACCGTCTTTGAGTGTAAGAGCTACAGCCATGTGAGGGGTGCGTTGTGACTCTCTGTTGCTTCTCAATGACGCGTTCTTACTTGCAGGCACGTAGTCAGGGGGGTGGCCCGGGAAGCCCGGGCCGCCTTCCCCCCCCCCCCCCCCCCTCCTTTCAAATCCTTAGTTTTGCTGGGACCTCCTCTCCTCCCTCCCCCATCTATGGTGTTTTGCCATGGGCGGGACCCCCCCAAAACGAAATCCTGGCTACGTACCTGCTTACTTGTATACTAGGTCGTCGGTGTTCTAAAAGTATAAGCCGTTCTGTAAGAGACTCTACATAAAACCACACAATTATAACCAAAAATTAAAGAAAATACATTTTTGGGGAGGTTACGTTCCATGCCAGCCAACGGCACCGAGACGCCTCAGAGGGGGCTGAGGATTAATCTCGACCACCTGGGGATATTTCTACGTGCAACCGCAATGGACCTTTTCCGAGAAGCGTTCTGCGCACGCGCGCGAGCGCCCGATGCCAAGCGGCGGAAGTCGGAACGAAAAATCGAGGAAATGCGGAAGGAGGCTGTATATCAGCAAATAGAACACGTAACTGCAGCATATATATAACTGTGTTACACAAAAAAAAAGAACGTCGACGGAAAGGAAAACACGACGTTTGGGTGGACGCCATGGATGCCCCTCTTTAAAGTCGCGTTGGGCAGGCGCCGCTGCTGAGAGAGTGAAGAAACTGGTAGCGTAGCTCCCATTATCGATTGGTAGCGCAGGTTGGTCACTTCCTCGATTTTTAGTTCGTGCAGCCACCGCCTGGTGCCGTCGGTTTGTGGAAAATGTCCATTTCAGTTACATGCCTCGGAAGTACTGAGAGGGAAAAATTGTAGACCAGTAGAAAGTATTAGCAAATACCGTGAAAGCCAATACTGGCAACTCCCGCGGAAAACGGGCGAAAAGTGATTGCAGCGCCCCTGGCGAGCTCGGAGTCTCCGCTGGCAGACAAATTCTCCAAAATGCATTGGTTTTGCCTATCTCCGTGACCAACGAAAAAAAATTGTCACAGACATTCGCTGCTTTGAAAGTTAAAAAAATGGGTGCCAGCTCATGAGTGAAGGACATTCTCTTCGCGTGGGAAAGATGTTACAGCTTTCTGGGTGCAATTTCGGAGTTCTCCCGAAGAAAACATTCTGTTACAACTTATGTAAGCCAAGCAAAACACGAATGTATGCCTTCGCGCTGTTTCGTGAAAAAGGGAAATGTACAAACATTTCAGAACATAGCTTCGTTTCAACTTTATTGGAATTCTTATCAGTCAATTCGTTTTGTCGTTGCAATTCCCATTTCTTATGAGTGTCTTGCTTATAACCGTTTCGTCGAACAGGCGAGCTGGCTAATCCCGTTAAGATCGTCTCCGGATGAAGAAGCAAAAGTCAATTTCGAACCACGTACGTTACGGCGATGTCAGTATGCTCCGAAAGAAGGCGTTGTGCAGATGCATATCTGACGCGATTATAGATTAACAAAAGCGGAGTTACGAAAAAAGCAGACTTCTCGCGCTTGCAAAGAAAGAAGGGGAGAGCGTCGTAGCCCTGCGAAAAAAGATGATTTCAGTCACGTTATTTACAGTGCACAAATTCCGATTGTTAGCGCGGGGACGACCAACATCTTCTGCTTCGCTGCATATTTACTTCTACGATAAAGGCCGACACCCGTTGAACCGTCTCCACTCTTTCCATTTTTGAGTCTTCTTTCTTTTATATTTTTGAGGCGACGCCACTCTGCCGCGTTATTTCTTCCTCCTGCTTATATGTTGCTGTGTATATTTTTTGTTTTCTTTCGCTTTTTTTTTTTTTTTTTTTTTGCCCTACGTGTAAACAATCGCGTATCCTTGCTTGGTTTGGCTTAGTTTTTACTCCCTTTCCTTCGCTTCGGCGCTTACTACCCCCTGTTTGTCTGCGCTAGGCCCGGGCATTTTGAGGGGTCCATATCACAAGAGAGAATGACATTTTAGCGAACGGCGACATTTGAGAGAATGGTCGTTTTAGCGAATACCGGGGGCGCGCGTTAACCCATCCGTCGCGCTGCGCTTTACGCCGCTTCGCGGCGACAGTCTGCGGCAACTCATTACAAAAATATGAACTCACTTGGCCCACCCGAAAACGCCGCTTCGCGGCGTCCGACTATTCGCTAAAGTGTCGTTCGATGAAACGTGGGCGTTCGCTAAAACGTCATTCGATCAAGTGAGTGCCTCCCCATTTTGAGGGCCGTCTGCGACTTTGCTGTTGTTGTTGTTTTCGTCCACTGTCGTCTGCGATAACCTCCTATTTTCGCCTTCGATTGAGTTTCTAATCCAAAATCGTCATTCGTGCTTTTTGATATTTATTAAATATATTAAGAAGTGTAAGCTCGTTACCCATTTTTATTCGAATTTTATTTGTGTACTCCGGCCGGCACGTCTGCTACGGGTCATCGTTTGTTGATCAACCGGCCGCATTCAAGAACAAGTTTGTGCGATGTGGTGGAAAATCTTTCTTCTGCTTCCTACGTCAACCTACGGACACCTACGCCAACAAGTACTTGAATGCACTTTTAAACTGCTTCGTCAAGCGAGCGAACGAACACCCCGCCAAAGTCACTGGAGTAAGACATTCGAAAGCAAAAAAAGGTTACTCACTGCTGCCTGCGACCAAAACATTTCTGCGACTCTTTTTTACCGGGCAGTGTTAGCTGCACTACGTTATTTATTTCCCCTGTTTTGTTTTTAGTTC